ATTTCTTTTTGTGATATGGGTCTGTTTAAGCTGTTAATCTCATTAACCCCAGCACTTTGGGATGCCAAGTCAGAAGACTGATTTTGAGGCGAGCCTGGACTGCATAGTGAGACTGTTTTAAAAAACTGGGGTGGTGTGTGTGTGTCTCAATGTGGAGAGATGGCTCAGTGATTAAGAACTCTTGCTGTATAATCATAAGGACCAGAATTTGAATCCTAGCACCACCTAACAAACTGGGCTTTCTGTAAGTGCCTCTAATTCCAGGTCCGAGGGGTCCAGTGGACCTGCACACATTCTTATGCATACACACTTAAATAAAGATAATTTTAAAAAAATTTACAGGCTGGAAAGATGGCTCAGCTAATGAGCACATACTACTCTTGCAGAGGACCCAAGCTGGTTTCCTAGCTCCCATGTTGGGCAGGTTGCAGTCACCTGTAACTGCAGCTCCACAGACTCTGATGCCCTCTTCTGTACTCCTTAGGCAACTGCACTTGTATGTGCACATACCTCCCCAGCAATTAAAAATCTTTTGAAAAAATACAAAAGCCATCGATAGTGAGTAAAAGCCAGGAAAAACAAGAGGCCGTGGTCCGTAGAAATCGCAGAAAGCTTATATTTTGTTGGAGTAGTGCTTTTTTTTTTTTTTTTCCTTTTGAGACAGGGTCTCCCTGTAGCCCCAGCTGGCCTGTAACTCACTATGTAGATCAGGCTGGCCTTGAACTCACAGAGATCCGCCTGCCTCTGCCTCCTGAGTGCTGGGACTACAGGCATGCACCGCCGAGTAGTGCATTTTTTATGTTGTAGAGGTAATTGAAGAAATGAAAGGTTGAAATAGGAATATGAGTTAAGGATCTCTGAAACAACCAGATGAAGAAATGGGCAAAAATAGAATTTCTAGTTTTAAAGAATTAAATGAAGTTAAACCAGTTGACATACTTAAAGAGACTATGTGAAGTAAAAGATAGCAATGAAGTTAGTGCCAAGCTGGGTGAGGTGGCACGTATAATCATAGGACTGGGAAACTGAGAGATCAGTCTGGGCTACAGAGCTAGACCTCATTTCAGAACAAAGGTGATATTCCCAAGAATGCAACATAGAGATAGAAAGAGACAACATAGAACATTTGAGACAAACTCAAAGAGTTGTAACGTATAAAATCTAATTGAATTCCTGAAAGGAAGTAACTAAAAGGAAAGGTGAGACAAAGGTCAGTGAATGAGGTTTCTCCAGACTTGAGGAAAGAAAATCATCAGGTATTAGAAAGCTGGTGAATCTCAAGGACGATAAATAGAATTAGCCTTGACAATTCACAGTGAAATTGCAGAAAGCCAGTGACTGAGAAATCTTGAAAACAACTAGAACCAACAGATTGCTATAAAAATCTTTTACTTTAGTCTGACAACTGATTTCCCAGCTGTAGCAACATAAGCCAGAGGACTTTGGAATTCTGGCTTGGGTCTACTGAGAAAACAGCTGCCAGCCTTGAAATGTCATATTCATTTCAAAATAGTTATATTTTTTAATTTATTTATTATTTATTTATTTTGTATTTTTTGAGACAGAGTTTTCCTGTAGCTCCAGCTGGCCTGGAACTCACTATGTAGACCAGGCTGGCCTTGAACTCACAGAGATCCATCTGCCTCTGCCTCCCAAGTGCTGGGACTAAAGGCATGGGCCAAAAATAGTTATTTTTAGGCAAAATCCTAGAAGAGCATTTGCCTCCAACAGGAGATTCCAAGGGATGCAATTCAGACAATGAAAAATCAAATAGAAAGCTTGAGATGATATATGGTGGCCGCAAAATATTTGCATCAAGTAGATACTGTAGTTCACAGTGTACTGTTAGTGTATGTTTGTGTTGTTTCAAAATTTTTATCTTTAACTGAAGCTACTTTGCATGTATATTTGGATGTGCTTGTACATGTAGTATTTTATGTTGATTTAATTCTAGAAGTCTATACTATTGAAGTAAAAAGAATTTCTTTGTACATGTAAAAAACTTTTTTTTTTTTTTTAAAGACAGTTTACATTTCATTCAACAGATTGTGTTGACTTTATTTACAAATGAGTGTTTGGGCCAGTTTTAAATAACAAAGATTGACATTTCTTACCAGACTTTGATTTATTTATATCTTAGGTGAAAATGCTTCAATTTAGTTCTCTTGGTTTGATATTTAAATGCATTCTGAGTTTGAGCTCAGCATAGCCCTCCTTAAAAGCTCTGAATAGAAGTAAAATCTAATTGAAATGCATTCTTTCTAACAAAGCATTTCTAAGTTTGTAAAATGTAGTCTAATTTTTCTTAGTCTTTTTTTAGTTTATTAACAAATATATATTTCAGCTTGGTGTGGTGGCACACCCCTTTTATCCCAGCACTGGGGAGACAGAGGCAGGTAGATCTCTGTGAGATTCCAGGCAACCTGGTCTGATAGTGAGTTTCAGGCCAGCCAGGACTACATAGTAAGATCTGCATACTTCAGCCATTAAAGAAATTGTAAATTGGCTGTGCCTGGTGGTACACACCTTGAATCCCAGCACTTGGGATAAGGAGGCCAGTGGATCTGTGAGTTCGAGGCTAGCCTAGTCTACGTGGTGAATTCTAGGCCAGCTGGGGCTACAGGAAGACCCTGTCTCAAAAAGACCAAAAAAAAGAAAATAAAATGTTAATTGGGTGGGGGAGATATGTGTGAAGTCTTGCTGAGCAAACATGAGAACTTGAGTTCAAATCCTGAGAACCCATATAAAACATGTTACAGTAGCATGCATCTGTAATCCTAGTACTCCTACATTAAGAGGAGAGGCAGAGACAAGAGAATCTCCTGAAAGCTTGTTTGATAGCTAGTCTAGCAGTTGAGGCAGGAAGAGTGCTGAGTTTGATACTAGGCAGGGCTGCAATGTGAGGCTTGTCTCAAAACAAAACAAAATTGGAGAGATGGCTCAACGGTTCAACGGTTAAGAACACTGACTGCTCTTATGGAGGACTTGGGTTTGGTTCCTAACACCCACTTGGTGGCTAACAACTGTCTGTAACTCCAATTCCAGGAGATCTGGCATCCTCTTTTGACCTCTGCAGGCGTTGCATGACACTGGTGCACTTACATTTATGCAGGCGATACACTCATACACATAAAATAAAAATAATAACTGCCAGGCATAATGGTGCACGCCTTTAATCCCAGCGCTTGGGAGGCAGAGGCAGGCGGATCTCTTTAAGTTCAAGGCCAGCCTGGTCTACCATGCCAGCAAGGACTAAAGGAAGACCCTACCTCAAAAAGACCAAAAAATAAAAAAATAGTAAAACAAAATCAAACAAGCAAACACTAAGGAAGAAATGACAAATTTTTATTTAGTTTTTATTTAATTATGGAAGAAGACTACACCATCACAGTGCGGCTGCATCATTTTCTAGCTCTGTGTACTTCATACCAGTCAGCCAGCAGGGAAGAAGTAAATGTGTTTAAATAAAAACTTCATTTTAAAAGGGTATATGACTGTTGTTAAGAAATTCTGTGTTTTAATGTGATCTGAATGTAAGATGCCATTTTTAACTTTTTTTCCTGTCCTTTTGCTGTTTCAGGTGCAAGTGAAAGTGTAGGAAAACATATGCTTGAAGCTTGCAACAATAATCTGGAGATGGCAGTCACTATGTTTTTGGATGGTGGAGGAATTGCTGAAGAGCCCAGTACCAGTTCAGCAAGTGTCTCTACTGTCAGACCACACACAGAGTATGAATTTATTATTTATTGCTAGGAGTTAACCTTGTCTAAATTAAGTAGTTGCATTTGTATCAAAATTAGGTCAATTTTCTAGTTCGAATAAAGATTTAAGATTGAAAGCTCTGAAAAAGTATCCTGTGGGGAGCTGGAGAGATGGGTCAGTGGTTAAGAGCACTGGCTTCTCTTGCAAAGGACCCAGGTTGTGTCCCCAGTACCTACATGGCAGCAAACAACTATCTGTACCTTCAGTTCCAGGGAATCCAATGCCTTCTTTTGGCCTCCACAGGCATTGCATGCACAGGTGCACACTCATACACAAAGTAAAAATAATTATTTAAAAAAGTATTAATTACATTTTTAAAAGTTGATTTAAGAAGCATCATGTAGAAAGTTTTATATTTATAAACCTTAAATTCTCTAGAGCACTGTCATGTGTAGAGCATGTCAACCTCTCTCCTTTTTAGTCTTCAAAAGAAATGTTGTGGTTCCATGTGAAGTCTTACTGGTAAGCAGGCAAGCAACAAGCTACAGGATAGAGCTCCTTGGCAAGGAATGACCTGAGCCTGAGGTTTGTGTGCTCCATAGCAGACTGTTATGGCAACAAAAAAATTGTATAGGCTGGGAATTTAGCTCAGTAGAGTGCTTGCCTACCCTTCAAGAAGTCCTAGATTCAAGCCCTAACACTGAATAACAGATGTGGTGGCACACGCCTGTTGTCCTTGCACTTCGGAGGTACGGACAAGAGGATCAGAAGTTTAAGGTCATCCTCAGCAACATAGTGAGTTTGAGACCAGACTGGGATACATGAGACCCTGTATTGTTTGCTTCTTTTAAAATTTAAAAAAAAAAAAAACTTTTTGAAAAAATTTTATTTATTAATTTTATTTTATGTGTATGTGTGTATTGCCTGTATGTAGGTAAGTGCACCTGTGTCATGCAGTGCCCTTGGAGGTCAGAAGAGGCTGTCGGATCCCCTGGGACTGGAGTTCCAGACAGTTGCTAGCTGCCGTGTGTGTTGGTATTTGAACCTGGGTCTTCTGCAAGAACAGCCAGTGCTCTTAACTACTTAGCCATCTTTCCAGCCCCTTGTTTGCTTTCTTTTGATAAAACACAGTGATAAAACAATTAAGAAAACCAACTTGGGAAGGAAAGAGTTTATTTCATCTTAAAAATTATAGTCCATCATGGAGGTAAGCCAAGGCAGGAGCTTGAAACAGAAACTGCAGAAGAATGCTGCTTACTGGCTTGTTTTCAGGCTCATGTTTAGTTACCATTCATACACAGCCTATGCCCACCTGCTTAGGAATAGGGGCAGGCTCTCCATCAAATAGCAATTAAGAAAATTTCTACAGACACACCCACAGTCCAGTCCAATGGAAGAAATTCCTCTATTGAGGTTCCCTTTTCCCAGCTGTGTCAAGTTGACAACCAAAGCTAACTATGATACTCTGTAAAAAAGGAAAAAAAAAAGAGGAGCTTTTGCAGATTGGTGTTATTATTTTACCTATGAGGAAGCCAGCTCATAGCCATTTTCTCCTAGGCTCCACAGAGTTGAAGTCCAATAAAGTTCATATTTCCAGTTGTGCCTTTTCCTACATTGTCCCAGGAAAGTGAGTTGCCTAGAATTATTATTATTTTTTTTTTAAAGTCTTTTTGAGATAGGCTCCCTCTAGCCCCAGCTGGCCTGGAACTTACTATGTAGACCAGGCTGGCCTCGAACTCACAGAGAGCCTCCTGCCTCTGTAGTGCTGGGACTAAAGGCATGCGTCACCATGCCTGGCCACTTTGAAATTTTTTTGAAGACTGAGGTTGAAGGTATAGCTTAGAGATAGAATATGTGTGTAACATGCATAGGGCCATGGTTTAATCTGCAGCATTAAAAAGTAAGTATCCAATTGTGTTTTTAAAAAAATTCAAGGCCAGCCTGGTCTACATAGTGAGTTCCAGGCCAGCTGGGGCTACAGAGAGACCCTGTCTCAAAAAGACCAAAAAAGAAAAAATGTTCTAGTGCTTTATTCTTTAAATAGTTCCCTGACCAATTGTGAAAGGCACCCCTAGTTGTAGAATTGCATATATTTGATGTTTTAGGCCTTTATATTTGATCAGTGAGAGTTTGCAATAAATACCTAGCCCTTGGGCAAAATTTCAGCAGTCGTTTGAAAATATTAGACATGAAATTTGTTGGGATTATAAGTACAGGCCACTGTACTCAGATGGCCATTGGGGTTTTAAAAATTTATTTATTTTTATTTGTACAAGTGTTTTGATTACCAGTTTGTTTATTGGTGCTTGTGTAAGTGCCTGTAAAGGCCATAATCGGGCAACAGAGCTACCATGTAAGTGCTAGGCATACAACCTGAATTCTCTGGAAAAACAGCAAGTGTTCTTAACCTCTGAGAGTATGTCTCCAGCCCCTATTTGCTTGTTTTTTGAGATACTGTTTCACTGGGTAGCCTAGGCTGGTCCTGAATTCGTGATCCTCCTGCCTCAGTCTCCTGAGTGCTAGGATTATAGTGCTCCACAATGCCTGGCTAAATCTTTGGTATTTTAAAAAATGAAACTTTTAAAAGTGAGACTTTAATATTTCTAGGTTTTTTTTTTTTGGTAATTCTTATTGTTTATAGCATGAGATACTAAGCAAGAGTAAACCTTTCAAATTGAGCAGGCAGAAGGCCAGGGTTTATTTTATATTAAATATGATACAGATTTAGCTCCCAGTACCTGGAGACAGAGGCAGGTGGATCTCTGTGTGTTTCGGGCCACCTAGGGCTACAGGGAGACTGTCTCAAAAAGACCAAAAAAAAAAACCGCATAGGTTTTAAAACTCAGGTCACATACAAGTATAATCTTTCCTTTGTTGAATTAGTTCTACTATCTTACGAGTTTATTTTCTATTAATTTTGACCATTTATTTCAAGCATAATCATATTCTCCAACATAACTCAAAGTTTTAATAGAAATCTATATTGAGCTTGTTGTGGTAGGGTACACCTTTAATCCTCATACTCAGGAGGCAGACAGGCAAATCTCTGTGAGTTTGAGGCCAGTCTTATCTACAGAGCAAGTTCTAAGCCAGCCAGGGCTACATAGTGAGACTTTTCCTATCTTGAAAAGAAAAGAAATCAATTATAAAAACATGATTTAAGCCAGGTGTGGTAGTGCATGCCTTTAATCCCAACACTGTGGAGGCAGAGGCAGGCGGATTTCTGAGTTCAAGGCCAGCCTGGTCTACATAGTTCCAGGACAGCTAGGGCTACAGAGACACCTTATCTAAAAATAGGACAAAACAAACATAAATAAATAATAAAAATAAAAACATGATTTAGTTCATAGAAACTTTAATAATATGTTTACAGTTGATTTAGGGGAACATTAAATTAGTAGCATATACATTTTTAAAATTATGCCTAGAACTGGAGAGATGACTCAGCAGTTAAGAGCACTGGCTGTTCTTTGCAGAAGACTCAGATTTGAATCCCAGTACCCACATGGTGGCTAACAGCCATCTGTAACTCCCATTTTCAGGGGGATCTGACACCCTCTTCTCAGTGGGCCCTGCATGACATAGGTGCACCTACCTGCATGCAGGTATAACACTCAGACACATAAAAAGTTTTTTTAAAAATTTAAAAATTGAGCCTAAAAGTAACTAAAAAAAGACTTTGGTTCATAGCTTTTTTTTTTTTTTAAATCTTACTTTTACCTTTTTGAGACAGGATTTCACTGTATTTATTACAAGCTTCAGACTCCTAAGCTCCAGAGATTCTTTTCTGCAGTCTTCCAAGCAGCAGAGACTGTAGGCATGCCCTACCATGTCACCATGTTTCTTTGAATGAACATTTTTTCCTACTGCTGGATTATATTATGATATGGCTTAGATTGTTTATATTGCTAATTGATTAACATTTAATAGCAGCTTCTATTTCCTTAACTATAATTTTCTCTCTGCTTTACCTTTTCCTTTTCTCTCTTTCCATACTTTGTAGCTACCATTGTGAAATATTTTCAGATATATAGTACTTAAGTCTTACCTCTTAGGAACTTAAAAAAAAATTGTGTGTGTATGTGTCTCTCTTTCTGTGTTTGTGCATACGTACACAGTGTGGGTGCCTGTGGAAGTCAAAAGAGAATATTGGATCCTTTGGAGCTGGAGTTTCACGTGTTTTCGAGTCACTCAGTATGGTTGGTGGGATCTGAACTCCAGTCCTAATGGTTACAAAATAAGTCCTCTAACTGCTGAACTACCTTTCCATCCCTTATACTTAATTTATCTAATTGAAACATTTCATTGGATCGAAGTTTAGTGGGTAATTGTCTTAGAGTGAGGTAATTCTGTATATACCTTGTGAAATACAGTATACCAATAACAGAAAACTTTACTTAGATAAAAGATGTTTTATTAAAAAGCCAGGAGTGGTGATGTACACCTGTAATCTAATGTGTTGGGAAGTGGGGATAAGAAGTTCAAGGCCAGTTTGTGTTATAGGAAATCCCATCTTTAAAAAAAAAAAAAAATCTGGGCGTGGTAGTCATGCCTTTAGTCCCAGTACTTGGGAGGCAGAGGCAGGCAGATCTTTGTGAGTGTGAGGCCAGTCTGGTCTACGTAGCGAGTTCCAGGACATCTGGAGCTACAGGGAGACCCTGTCTCAAAAGACAGAAAAAAAAAAAAAAGCCAGGTGTGGTGGCATAGGCCTTCAGTCCCATTACTTGGGAGGCAGAGGTGAGCCTAGTCTACATGGCCAATTCCAGGCCAGCTGGGGGTACAGGGAGACCTGTCTCAAAAACAAACAAACAAACAAACAAACAAAAAAACCCCAAAACCCAACCAAACAAAACCAAAACAACTCTTGGGGGCCTGGAGAGATGGCTCAACAGTTAAGAGCTCTGGCTGCTCTTTTCTTTGATTCCCAGCACCCACATGGCAGCTATTAGCCATAGATAACTCTAGTTCCAGGGGAGTCAACACCCTCTTCTGACATGCAGGCAATACACATACACATAAAATAAAAATTATTTTTTAAAAAGCTTTTTTAAAATCATGCATTTTCTAGCTGGGCGTGGTGGTGCACACCTTTAATCTCAGCACTTGGGAGGCAGAGGCAGGTGGATCTCTGTGAGTTCAAGGCCAGCCTAGTCTACATAATGTTTCCTTAAGATAATTAATGGGCCTCTCCTTTTTCTTCTCCCACTCACCTCTATGAGATGGAGTCTTATTGTGTTGCACTAGACTGGACCACTTGGGTTCAAGCAATCCTCCTCTGTCAGCCTTCCAAGTAGTTGGTATTAGAGGAATAGATCACTGACCTCAGTTGGCCAGTTTATGTTTTGTTTTCTGTTTTTAAAAGATCTACTTATTTTTGCTCGGCATGGTGGTGTATGCCTTTAATTCCAGCACTTGGGAGACAGAGCTGGGTGGATCTCTGAGTTTGAGGCCCACCTGGTCTACTTAATGAGTTCCTAGTCAGATAGGGTTACATAGTGAGACCTTGTCTCCCACTCTTCCCCTCTCAGAAAATTTACTTATTTCATGTATTATGAGTGTTTTACCTGCATGCAATTGTACTGTGTGTGCAAGTGCTCATGAGGTCAGAAGACGGTATTAGAAGTCCTGGAACTGAAGTATGGATGATGGTGAGCCATCATGTGACTGCTGGGAAATGAACCCGTGTCCTCTGGGACACCATCAAGTGTTCTTAACCATTGATTGAACCATCTTATCTCTGTAGCTCCACGTGGGGTTTGGTTTGGTTTGGTTTGGTTTGAGACAGGGTCCCCTGTATCCCCAGCTAGCCTGGAACTCACTATGTAAACCAGGCTGGCCTCAAACTCACAGAGACCCACCTGCCTCTGCCTCTAGAGTGCTGCAATTAAGGGCATGTGCCACCACACCCGGCTCCCTTGGTTCTTTTTGATGAAATAATTAACTGAGTTTCCTTGTACAGATATATCTGTTCCTTCAGATTATTGAAATTCTGAAAATGAGCAATGACATGTTCAGGAAGAAAAAGTAGCTATGAGTTTTGGCGCGTGCTTATAATCCCAACACTTGGCAGGTAGACTTTTGCCATTGAACCAACAATGCTTAATTACAGCAATTGGGAGGTTGAGGAAGAAGAATCTCAAGTTTGAGACCAGCCTGGGCTATATAATGAGACTTATAAACACAAAAATGGGAAAGAGTACTTAACATAATTTTGAATTCTTTATTCTTCATTTATTTGACTTATTGTAGCTTTATCTGACTGTTGGTTCTTTAATTATAGGATGTTAGTGATTGTTGGCAAGTGACTATAGTTTTTTTCATAAAGTATGGCTTAGGATACCAAATCTTAGATATAAAAAGTAAGGCCTTTGCTAGATTTGATGGTACATGCTTGTAATTCCAGCATTCAGAAGGCTCAGTTATGACGTTTGAAGCCTGAGGGTGGGTCAGTTTGACCCTGGCACTGAAAAAAATGGGTAATTGCAGGACATAGGATACTAGAGTCTTATGATTTCACATAAATGAAAATCATTAGGTCTTAAATTGATTAGCTGTATGCATTTTTTATGCTTAATAATTTCTTTTTACGTTTGATTTATTTTGTGTGTATGTGGGGGGGTTATACATGTGGAGGTCAGTGGAAAACTTTTGGGAGTTTTCTCCTTCCACAATGTGAGTCCTTGGGATCGAAATCAGGTGGTCAGGCTTTTTGGCAAGTGGCTTTACTAACTGAGTCATCCTCTAGCCCCAGAATTGGCTTTTTAAAGATGTATAATTGGGTCTGGAAAGATGGCTCAGTGGTTAAGAACACTGGCTGTTCTTGGACTCGGTTTCGAATCCCAGCAGCCACGTGGCAGCTAACAACTGTCCATAACTCCTATTCCAGAGGGATCCATGACCTCTTCTGTCCTCTGTTTGCATTGATGACATGAGTGCACTTACCTACTATAAAATTTTTGTAAAAACGATGTTTCTCTTTTTCTTTTGTATACTAGGATATATTTAGTAAATACTCCTTTTTTTTTTCCTTTTGAGACAGGATTTTCCTATAGCCCCAGTAAGGTGTGTGCCACCACACCCAGCTCTATTCATTTATTTTTAATGTGTGTGAGTGTATTGCCTGTGTAAGTAGGTACACCTGTGTCATGCAATGCCCTCAGAGGTCAGAAGAGGACATCCGATTCCCTGGACCTGGAGTTTCAGACGGTTGTTACCCACATGTGGGTGCTAGGATTTGAACCTGGGTCCTCTGTAAGAGCAGTCAGTGCTCTTTACAGCCATCTTTACAGCCCCACTCTGTCAGTTTTACTTGATTAAAAGTATAAATTTTCAGAATTCAGGATAGGGCTGGGCATGATGTATCCGCCTTTAGTCTCAGCACCCTTGAGATCAAGACCGGCCTGGTCTGCATAGGGAGTTGCAGGCCAGCTGGAGATACAGGGAGACTCTGTCTCCAAAAAAAAAAAAAAATTGAAGAAAGAAAAGAAAATTGGGTAGGGACTGGAGAAATAGTTTAGCAGTTGAGATCATGTACTGCTCTTCCAGAGGAGCTGAATTCAGTTCTCAGTGATCACATCAGGTGGATCACAACCATCTGAAACTCTAGCTCCTCAGACATCTGATAAACTTCTGGCACATGCACTCACATGCACGTACAGACAGAATACACATTTATACACATAATCAAAAATAAAACTGAAAAAAAAATTCAGGTGTAGGATCAGGCTGAAGACATGGCTCAGCAGTTAAGAGCACAGTGCTCTTTCAGAGGACTCAAGTTCAGTTCCCAGCATGCATGTTGAGCAGCTCACAAGTGCCTATAACTCCAACTGCAGGGAATTCAATCCCTCTGGCATCCTCTGGCATCCTCTGGCACCTGTACTTTTCTTTTTTCTTTGTAAACCTTTTAGCTTTCCATGCTATATATTTTATTCAAGTTAAATCTCTATATGGAAAAAATCTACAGAGTATTTATCCTGATTACTGTGGTTTCTAAAAGTCATTAAGTCTTGTGCTCATTTCACTTATTAATTTGAATATGTTCCCAATAATTACAGGAAGAAAATAAGTGCCAGAAAAATAGTCATTATTTTATTTATTTTATGCCTGCCTCTGCCTCCCGAGTGCTGGGATTAGAGGTGTGTGCCACCACACCCAGCTAATATTTTATAATATTTTAATTTTTTATATGTATGAGTGTATTGCCTGTATGTTTGTAAATGCACATGAGTCATGCAGTGTCTGCAGAGGTCAGAAGAAGGTATCAGATCCCCTGGAACTGGAGTTGTTAGCCATCATGTGGGTGCTGGGAATTGAAATCGGGTCCTCTACAAGAGCAGTCAGTGCTCTTTAACTGCTGAGTCATCTCTCCAGCCCCAACAGCTTTCATTTTAATACCCTCCTCTTTTTTTTTTCAGAGAAGAAGTACGTGCCCCAATTCCTCAAAAGCAAGAAATATTGGTGGAACCCGAACCTTTGTTTGGTGGTAAGTTTACTTTATTTGCTTTGCTTTATTTGACTTTATTGTTGTCTAAGATTTTAATTAAATGATAAGAGATTTGAGGGCTATTCAGAGATTGTTACTGGTCTATAGAACCAGTTCTTACCTTCCATTTCTGTATTCCCCTCAGCAAAATTCTGTAATTTGTTCACAGAGAATGAAACACATTAACAGTTGAAAAATTGTTGCAGGTCAAAAAGGAGGATATTTATCAAAAACAATTGCTGCATGTTAATGGAAATGAGTATCATTAGATTTTTTTTTTTTTTTTTTTTTTTGGTCTTTTTAAGACAGGGTCTCCCTGTAGCCCCAGCTGTCCTGGAACTCACTATGTAGACCAGGCTGGCCTTGAACTCACAGAGATCCACCTGCCTCTGCTTCCCGAGTGCTGGGATTAAAGGCGTGATCATTAGATTTTTTTAAAACCCTCAATTTTATGTTTTTATGTGTCTTTCTGAATGCTTGACTGATATGTCTTTATTGTTTTGATATTGGGCTCCCCTCCCTTTTTGAGAGAAGGTTTCACTTTGTAGCCCTGGCTGTTCTGAAACCAGGCTGGTTCAAACTCACAAATATCTATCTACCTTTTTGCCTCCTAAGTCCTAGAACTAAAGATGTGCTACCATGCCTGGAACCTTTGCTCTTCTTTAGTTTCTAAAACTATGTTCCTCTTTTGAATAGAAGAGAACAATAATCCTTATTCCATGCAAAAGTTTTTGATAGCCATCTGGGTGCATGAGAAAAACCAGGACATTTAATCAATTTTAAAGAAAAGTAATAGTTTAATAAGCACTTATTTCCCTTTTGTGAAGCAAATATTGTTAGATAATTAATTGGTTAAAAAAATAGAAAATAGGTTGGGTGTAGTCATGTACACCTTTAATCCCAGCACCCAGGAGGCAGAGGCAGGTGGATCTCTGTCAGTTTGAGGCCAGCCTGGTCTACATAGTGAGTTCCAGGACAGCTGGGGCTGCAGGGAGACTGTCTCAAAAAGAACAACAACAAAAAAAAAAGAATTTTACAGCAATTGGGCAGACATATGGCAACTTTGTATTGTATTGAAAACAATAATACAGAGAAATTGTTTGAAACATGAGGATAAGAGGCTTCATGTTTTATAGAAAATCCAGGATAGAAAAGGAGAAAAGTTTCTAATAAAAGGATTAAGAAATAAACTGCTATCTTTTGATTTAAATAAACACCTTACTTAACAGTTTTTGTAAACTTGGTCTTTAACTGTCGGCTTCCTTAACTTGGACTTTACTTTTTAGTTTTTGAGATAGGGTCTCACCATATACTCCTGATTGGCCCTGAACTTGATATATATACCAGACTGGCCTTGAAGTCACAGAGACCTACCTGCTTCTGCCTTCCTAGTGCTGGGATTAAAAGCATATGTCACCATGCTAGAGTTTGCCTTTGAATAAAATAAAAAGAAATAGAGTTATCCATTGGTTCTAGGCCCCTCCCCCTTTTGTAGCTCTAATGGAGCTTAAGTCTCCCATATAGGATATCGTAGTGTTTGTATAGTCTCTACTGACATCCTCTTTTTTTTTGGTCTTTTTGAGACAAGGTCTCCCTGTAGCCCCATATTGCCTGGAACTGGCTATGTAGACCAAGCTGGCCTTGAGTTCACAGAGCTCCACCTGCCTCTGCCTCCTGAGTGCTGGGATTAAAGGCATGTGCCACCATGCTTGGCTATAATTTTCAGCTCTAGATTATAATACCCAATATGATGTAAATGCTTTCTAAGATTTATTTTTATTTTATGTGTATGAGTTTTTTATCTGTATGTATGTAAGTGTACCACATGTGTGCAGTGCCTGAAAGAGGCCAGAAGAGTGCATTGGATCCCATGGAACTGGAGGCACAGATGGCTGCTAGCCACCATGTGAGTGCCAGGAACTGAACCTAGGTTCTCTGTACCAACAACAAGCACTTTTAACCACAGAGCCATCTCTCTAGCCCTTAAATGCTTTTTTTTTAGATTTTAAAAAAGTTATTTTTATTTTATGTGTATGAGTGTATTGTCTTCATGTAAGTAAGTGCACCTGTGTCGAGCAATGCCTGAAGGAGGTCAGTAGAGAGGTAGAGAGTGTTGGATCCCCTGGAACTGGAGGTATGGACGGTTGTTAGCTGCCATGTTGTTGGTGCTGGGAATCAAACCCAGGTCCTCTGCTCTTAACACTCCCTGCCCTGCTCAAATGCTTTTTAAGTGGTTGTTCTATTGCTTAGGGAATAATGACAAGAAAAAAAGCTGTATATGTTCAACACAGGTGAATTTTTGCAGTGCTGGGGATTAAATTTAGGGCCTCACATGCTAGGCAAGTACTCCACTAGATGTGGAACCCACAGATACTGAGCATGGATTTAACTTATATAGATTGAGAAATAAAGAGAAAATGATAAAGTAATATTAGAGTATAATAATGCTTTCTGGGCTATTCAAGTCAAGCCAATATTTTATTAAATAGTCCAAGTGTAATAAAGCATAGCTCTTTTTTTAAAAATTTTATTATTTTTATTTTATGTGTATGCATGTATTGCCTGCATGTAGGTAAGTGCACCCAAGTCGTGCAGTGCCCGTGGAGGACAGAAGAGGCTGTCGGATCCTCTGGGACTGGAGTTAGGGACAGTTGTTAGCTGCCATGTGGGTGCTGGGATTCGAACCTAGGTCTTCTGGAAGAAGAGTCAGTGTTCTTAACTGCTGAGCCATCTCCAGCCCCAAGCATCGCTCTTTTTTTCCCATAGAAATGGTATGAATGGATTTTGGAGATGGAAAGTCATACTCTTTGAAGCTTTATCTTCCATTATTGAAAGGAATAAGGCAGGATTTTTGAGTGGATAAGAGTACAGGAAATGAATTCTCTGGGCCAGTGAGATGACTGAGTAAAGGTACTTGCTGCCAAGCCTGATAACCTGAGCTCAACCTTCCACATGGTGGAAGGAGAGAGTCAACTCCAACAAGTTGTCTCTAACTTACATATATTTTCGGTGAAACTTGTGCATGCACACACACATATTCATAATAAATAAGCAAATAAATAAATGTAACTTTAAAGAAAGGAGAAAAATGTTTTAAAATTAATTTTTGTTCTCTTGTTGAACAGTTCTATCTGAAACCACGCTTTGCTTAATATTTACTTCCAGGTTATACAATGAAGAAGACATTTAGGAAGTTAATCTTAACTTTCATTGTTATACCTTATAACTTTATAATCTAACTTTTAAAAAAAATTGTATTTATTTGTATGTTTGTATATACCATGTGTGATTGGGTACTGACAGAGGGCAGAAGTACTAACAGGCTAGAAGAAGAAGTTGGAGTTAGAGGCAGTTGTGAGCCACCTGGCATGAGTGCTGGGACTTCAAGATCTCTGGAAAAGCATCTCAGTTCTTAGCTGCTGAGCCATCTCCACCTAATTTAACTTAAAAAAAAAAATGGTGTTGAGTATCAAACACAGACCTCATATATTATAAGGCAAGTACTCTATCACTGAGTACTCTATCACCTTCAATCCTTATACTTTGGTAGCCCACCCCCCCTTTTTTTCATTGTCATGTGTTTATAGTATATGTGTATCTATAAACATTTTGAGTGTGTATTGATATGTACATCCATGTGTGCACGTGCATGTGGAAGCCCAAGGCTGATCTTTGATCACTCTCCCACCTTATTCATTGAGGCAGAGTCTTTCAGTCAAACCCAGAGGTCACGCTGGGCATAGTAGTGCATACCTTTAGTCCAAGTATTCAGGAGGCAGAGGCAGGTGGATCTCTGTGAGAGCAAGGCTAACCTGGTATACACAGTGAGTTCTAGGCCAGCTGGGTCTATAGGAAGACTGTACCTCCAAAAGTAAACAAACAACAAAAGAACCAAACCAAACAAAGAAAACCCCCAGCGCTCACAGATATGGCTAGTCTCCCTAGCCAGCTTGCTCTGGGGATTCCCTCTCTTCATTTTCCAAGGCTAGAATTACAGGTGAACTGCCATGCCCAGAAGGCATTTTACTTAGGTTCTGGGGATCCAAACAAGACTCCTCTCATACTTGCACAGCAAGCACTTTAATGACTGACACCATCCCAGCCCTAATTATTCACCTACAGGTTAAAAATCTGGGAGGTAGTGATGGACAGCTTCATTATAGACAGTACTGTTATACCTGAGTTAGTCATCTTGAAAAGAGGGAACAATTTATTTTGACTCCTGAGTTTGAGAGGCTTCAGTCTTTTCAGGGTTCCATTGCTTTTGAGCTTGTGTCAAGACAGTAATACATCATAGTGAAAGCAGCATATGTTGGAAGAAGCTGCTCAGGCAGCCAGGAAACAAAAAGAAGAGGAAATTGGAGTCCCATGCTCCCTTCAGGGGCATACCTACAGTGGCCTACCCACAGTGGCCAAAACTCCTACTGGATCACACCTCTCAGAGGCTCTACTGTCTCCTGATAGTGTGAGCTTGGAAACCAAGCTATTAACACATGGACGTTTCAGAAGAAACCTACCTAAACCACAGGGAGGAGGATCTCACAAAGCAAATGAGAGCCAAGTCTCTGAGACTGCCTGTGACACAGAACAATGGGTTTTATTGGGACAGAGTGTAAAGAGCTGACAGTTAAAATTTCAGCTTCCACTTTGCAGAAGCCTTTAAGGAACCACTACTAGTTGAATTTTGGTGTAGTATCAAATAATAATATTCATGATTATCTAAAAAGAAGACATTTCTTACTCCTGCATTTCCATATGGGGCTGGATTTGAATATTCTTCCTACATGTGAAGTAAAAGATTAGCAGTAAATTTACAATTACTTAGATGATCTGAAAATCCCAGGTGTTTTCTCTTAAGCCAGATTCTGACAGATTTATTTAGGAAAATGTGAAATAGTGTTGCTCTTCTCACTAAATTGTTGCTGCTAGTTCTTCTGTTAGTCCCTTGTACTGAGCATGGCCCCTAAGGTTTTCCTTATACCTGCTAAGCCAGCCCTCTACCACTGTACTACATGCTCAGTTCTGAAGCTCCTTTTGGATCTCTTTTAACTCTTTGTAGCTGGGTCTTTTTGGCCTCAATGAACCACTCTACTATGTGGTCAGGATAATGCGTACCGAACGCTGGTGTTCACTTGTGGTAAATGGTTTGCAAGAGCAAGGGAACTACTTGGAGTAATGGTCCTGGTGCTGATAATGTAGCTTGAGAAGTTAGGATGGTTATTAGCCACCATGTGGGTACTGGGAACTGAATCCAGGTCCTCTGTCCTCTGCAAGAAAAGTCAGTGCTCTTAACCTCTAAGCCATCTCTCCAGTCCTTCATTCTAACTCTTATATGTAAAATTTAAAGATTGAATAGTATGCTCTGTCCAAAAGAGATATGATGGTTCAGTTTTCTGTTACTGAACCATTATGTAATAATAGGAACAATTCTTTCTTTGAAAATTCAAGATTTTTTCCTTTGGTGTTTATAATTCTGCATGTACACCTACCAACTAAGACATCCTTAAATTTTGGGGTGTAGAGCTTATTTAAGTCTAGGGCTGCAGCTCAGTGGTAGAGCACTTACCTAGTATGCTTGAGACCTAGGGTTTGATTCTTACCAAAATATTAATAATAGTAATAGTAGTCTGGGTATGGTGGTGCATGCCTTTAATCCTAGCACTGGGGGAGGCAGAGTCAGACAGAGCTCTGAGTTCAAGGCCAGCCTGGTCTACTTAGTGAGTTCTAGGCCATCTAGTGTGACACAGTGAGGTGCTGTTTCAAACATCCCCCACCCAAATAATAATAATAATAATAACAACAACAACAACACTTCTTACCAAAAGAACATTTTCAACACTTGAGAGGTGGAGGCAGGAATATTAGTTCAAGGCCACCCTCAGCTACATAATGGATTTGAGGCCACCTTAATTTTATTTTTTATTTGTACAAAAGATGGTTGGATGTTATGTATTAATGACTTGAGGTTTTTTGTTTTTTTTTTTCTTTTTAATTTTAAATTTGGGGTCAGGTCATGTATATACCATTTTTACTGAATAAGCCATATCACCTGCCCTGCTTTTTTTTTTTTTTTTTTTTGAGACAAGGTATCACAATGTAACCCTGACTAGCCTGGAACTCACTATGTGGACCAGGCTAGCTTCAAGCTTGCAGCAATCCTCCTTGTGTTGGAGTTATAGGAATGTGCCACCACTCTGGGGTTTGACTTTAAAATTGTAAAAAAAAATTTTTTGAGGGAGGGCACCATTATGAATTTATGAGTGTTTAGTGGCGCATGCCTTTAATCCCAGCACTCAGGAGGCAGAGGCAGGCGGATCTCTGAGTTCGAGGCCAGCCTGGTCTCCATAGCGAATCCAGGCCAGCTGGGGCTACAGGGAGACCCTGTCTCAAAAAGACCAAAAAAAGAAATGCAGGAGTGATGGCTCAGCAGTTAAAAGCACTGACTGCTCTTGCAGAGGACCCGAGTTCTATTCCCAGGACCCACATGCTGGCTATGAACCATCCTTAACTTCAGTTCCAGGGGAATCTGAAGCCCTCTTCTGACATCTGGCATTGCACGACCATGGGTGCATTCACATACATGCAGACAATACACTCATAAAATAAAAATAATAAAATATTTAAAAATAGGAAATGCGGGGCTGGAGAGATGGCTCAGTGGTTAAGAGCACTGGTTGTTCTTGCAGAAGACCTGGGTTTGAATCCCAGCACCCACATGGCAGCTAACAACTGTCCATAACTCCAGTCCCAGGGATCTGACAGCCTCTTCTGACCTCATCGGGCACTGCACCACACGGGTGCACTTACCTACATGCAGGGAATACACGTATACACATTAAAAAAAAAAATAGGAAATGCTTGTGGATAAGAATTTTTTAGAATGTTCAAAAATTAATGTTTTAATTTTCTTCTACAGCCCCTAAAAGACGGCGGCCTGCACGGTCAATATTTGATGGCTTCCGAGATTTTCAAACTGAAACTAGTAGGTATTTGTGAACCAGTTTATCATATTCTTCTTCGTCTCTCCGTTAAAAAGAAAAGTCTTAGTTCAAATTACTTTGTGGATTCATCTTGTTTAAAAAGTGAAATTAGGGGGCTGGAGAGATGGCTCAGCAGTTAAGAATACTGATAGTTCTTGTAGAAGACCTGGGTTGAAATCCCAGCACCCACATGGCAGCTAACAACTGCCTATAACTCCAGTTCCAGGGGATCTGATGGCCTCTTCTGACTGCGGGCATTGCACAACACGAGTGCACTTACCTACATGCAGGCAATACACTCATACACATTAAAAAAAAAAAAAAAAAAAAGTGAAATTAGGGCCAGGGAAATGGCTCAGTGTATAAAGATACTTGCCATGACTATCTGAGTTCAATCCCTGGTACCCATATTGTGGAAGGAGAGAACTGACTACTAAAAGTTGTCCTCTGGTTTTCCTACACTCACATTTGTGTACTCCCTCACATACAGTAATTTTAGAAAGTGAAATTATAAGGCTGGGGATGTGGCTCAGTTGGTAGAGTGCTTTACTAGCATGTATAGAACCCATGGTTTGATACCCAGGACTGCATAAACTGGGTGTGGTGGTAATGTGTTTGTAATCTCAGCATTCAAGAGATGGAGGCCAGAGGATCAGAAGTTCAAGACTATTCTGAGACCTAGTCTGAAAACAAAAGTAAAGGTGGTAGTGCTTGCTCAGGTCTGTTAATGCCAGCGTTTGGAAAGCTGAGGCAGGAGGATCACTTGGAGTTCAAGGCCAGCCTGGACTACATAAAGATCCTGTCTAAAAAAAAATAAAATGATGAATTGAGATTCTTCATGATTAACTCCCTTAACTGAATGTTCCAAATTCTGGCATCTTTGCTTATGGAATAAAGATAATGTATGAAATCTGGTATTTTATTAACTTCCTTAGATCAGAGTAAATACTTAAAAGATTAACTCTCTAACATTTTTAAAAAATAACCTGATTTGCCCGGCATGGTGGCACACACCTTTAATCCCAGCAAGTGGGAGGCAGAGGCAGGTGATTCCCTGTGAGTTCCAGGCCAGCTGGGGCTACAGGGAGACCCTGTCTCAAAGACCCCCCCCCCAAAAAAAACCCCGATTTACCTCAGGAACCTAATATCTGATATTAATGAAAGGAATAACTAATGAAAATAGTTATTGTAGGGGCTGGAGAAACGGCAGTTAAGAGCACCGACTGCTCTTGTGTGTTCAGATCCCAGCACCTCTATGGTAGCTAATAGCCATTTGTAGCTCCAGTTCTGAGGGATCCGATGCCCTCCTCTGGCCTCTATGGGCATTGCACAACATGGGTGCACTTACATATATGCAGACAATACACATATACATACAATAAAAATAAATGATAAATATTAAAAAAAGTAGTTATTGTCAAGAAACAAAAAAGCCCCCCCAACCAGAGCAGCTATTAATGTTTTGGCTACAGTTATTGTTTGAAATAAATTAGGACTATCTTGGCCTTATACATTTAGAGGATTCTGAAGAAAGGAACATTTTTATTTTATTTATTTTAAATTTTATTTTATTTATTTGGGGAAAGGCAGCATATGCATCATGGTGTTCATTTGGGAGTTAATTTTCTCCTTCTAGCATGTGGGACCTGGGATTGAATGGGAGTCATTAGACTTGGTGGTAAGCAGTACCCTTACCTTCCAAGCCATCTAGCTGGGCCAGGACAGTTATTTTTAGATAATACATGAGAAACTCTTGAACTATGCTGGATTTTAAGCTTACTTATGAGTCCTTCAAGATACAGATAGTTCATGTGGAACTTGGAGAGAGTTGAAAAGGGAGCCTAAATTGACTTTCAGTCATCAAAGAGATCTGCCCTTTTAGTAGATAGTGACAGCAAAGGTCTCTAAAAAACTGGGAGCCCAGAAAGCTGGGTGTGGTGGCACAGGCCTGTAATCTGAGTACTAGGAGGCAGAGGCAGGGAACTCTGAGAGTTTGAAGCCAGCCTGATCTACATAGTGAGTTCCAGGTCAGCTGGGAATATAGGGAGACCCTGTCTCAAAATAACGAAAGACTCTTTCCTTCCCTCTCTTTGTATTTTTTTCCCTCATTAGATATTTTCATTTGAGGTTAGGCACGTTGTTCCAAGTACTCCTTTCAGTTGATACCAGGGGTTTTGTTTACTGTGTAATTCAAGACTTTTATTTTATGGCTAATTAAAACTTTTCTATTCTTCTATGTTGCAGTAAGGCAAGAGCAGGAATTAAGAAATGGAGGAGCAATAGATAAGAAACTAACTACTCTTGCAGATCTATTCCGGCCACCCATTGATTTGATGCACAAAGGCAGCTTTGAAACAGTAAGTTGTTGGAGATTCTGTGCCTTAACTATGAATTGTTTTACATTTTCAACATCCTGTCTGTTTTCTTTCCCCTCCCTTTCCTTTCTTCCTTCCATTTTTTTTTTTTTTTTTTTTTGGTCTTTTTGAGACAGGGTCTCCCTGTAGCTCCAGCTGCCTGGAACTCACTCTGTAGACCAGGCTGGCCTTGAACTCACAGAGGATCTGCCTGCCTCTGCCTCCTGAGTGCTGGGATTAAAGGTGTGTACCACCACACCCAGCTTTCCTTCCTTTTTTTAAAAAAACAACCCCCCACCCCCCCAAACCAAAGGGTCTCACTGTGTAGCTCTGGGTGGCTTGAAACACATTATGTAGACTAGGCTGCCCTGAAACACACAGGGCTCTGCTTGCCTCTGCTTTCTGAATGCTGGAATCAAAGGTATGTGGCTGTCATGCTTGGTTAAATGTCATTTATTTTCTAAGAGCAAAAAAATCCTTTCAGTAATAGAGAATTGGAATCTTAATTATTTCTGCATACTATATCTATGGGTTTCACTTATATATATATATATATTTTTTTTTTTTTTGGTCTTTTTGAGACAGGGTCTCTTTGTAGCCCCAGCTGACCTGGAACTCACTATATAGACCAGTCTGGCCTCGAACTCACAGACATCCTCCTGCCTCTGCCTCCCGAGTGCTGAGATTAAAGGCATGCGCCACCAAGCCCAGCGGGAAATACATTTGTAACAGCAGTGTATGAGATTATTTGATGAAATCCTTTGATTAGCCTTGTGTGGGATCATTTTAGAATCTTTGCCATTTTGAAAGCTTCTTTACAAGTCTTGCTTTTGAAAGCTTATGTGTCTTTACTACTGTGTATATACAGTGTTGTGTTTATTAACCATTTATGAATTATATTTATCTTTTACCTATATAATAGTCTCCCTCTTATGTATATTACAGCTTTGCTTTCTTAGGTTTTGTTTATGTGAGATCTGAAAATACTACATGGAAAATTCTGGAAATAATTCATACATTTAAGAAAATTCTATTTTTATTTGATATGTGTGTTTGCCTGCCTGTGTATAAAAGCACTGTGTGTGTGCAGTGCCCACAGAGCCAGAAGAGGGCATCAGATCCCAAGGGACTGGAGTTATGAGTGGTTGTTAGCCTCCATGTGGATGGTGGGAACCAAACCTGGGTCTTCTGCAAGAGCAGCCAGTGCTTTCAACTGCTGAGCCATATCTCCACCCCAATTCATAAGTTTTAAGTAATGCACTATTCTGAGTAGCATGGTAAAGTCTTGCCATCCACTCAGGACAATATCTATATAATGCTGTATAATACTACTTGACCATTTGTCACTTACTCATCTGGAGTATCAGATCAGCTTGTACTACTTTAGTAATACTTGTGTTTAAATAACATGTTTTACTAAATAGTGACTAAAAGCTTAACAAACTAGTGGTGTTGGCAATTCAAATGTCAAAGGAAAACTAAAATGCTTCCTTTAAGTAAACAGGTGAAAGTTCTTAATAAGAAAAGATTAAAAAATACTGAGTTAGCTAAGATCTATAGTAATTGAGTTATCCATGAATTACGAAGAAAGAAAAAGAAATTTGTGCTAGTTTTGCTGTCCTATCTCAAATTGTAAAAGTTTGGTTTCAGTGTGTGACAGTGCTTATTTAAGATGGATTGTGTGTGTGTGTGTGTGTGTGTGTGTGTGTGTGTGTGTGTGTAAAATAATATAAATTGCCAGGCATGGTGGTGCACACCTTTAATCCCAGCATTGGGGAGGCAGAGGCAGGCAGATCTCTGAGTTCCAGGCCAGTCTGGTCTATGTAGTTCCAGGTCAGCTGGGGCTACAGGGAGACCCTGTCTCAAAAAGAACCCCCCCCTCCAAAAAAAAGTATATATCAGATTTGATATTTTTTGTGGTTTCAGGAATGTGTTGGGGGCAGGGGGAGGTCTTGGAAATACATCTGTATAATTGTAGGGTATATTCTTCCTCAGTTTTTCCTGGTTTTATCTTGGCTAAATCCAAAGGAAAACTTCCCCAGAGCAAATTTACTTGACTTTCTGCTAACTTATAAGTGGAGCAAGGAAACATGTTCCTTTTTGTTTTCACAATCCTAGTTGCTGATATTTAATATTAACAGTGTTTGTTACGTGAACAGGAGGTTACATACACTAATGTTGTGGTGTTTAGCTTGATTTGGCACTCCTTTGACTCAATAAAATTTACATAGATGTAAGTTGTTGCTAGTTTTGTTAAATTTTATCTGTTTGAAGTATAGACCAAAGAATAAGTGTAAAAATTATATACACACATATCAGGTACACATGAAAATGAATTCTGGTCATCTTTTTTGGGGGTCTTTTTGAGACAGGGTCTCCTTGTAGCTCCAGCTGATATGTAACTCACTATGTAGACCAGATTGACTTTGAACAGATCCGCCCACCTCCCCACCCCCCCACCTCCCGGATTTTGGGGATCAAAGGTGTGCGCCACCATGCCTGGCTTTATCTTTTTTTTTAAATAAAATGGCCTTTGATACAAACTGTTAAGCCAGTATGAAATATTTAGAATAGGAAATTTAGCTGTCATTTTGTTCTTCAACTTTATTTTTTTGACAAGATTGGGTGCATTCAGGATTATGTGACCATAGACAAATTTTCAAAGTTGTACAACCTGAAAATGGTTGACTGCATATAATCGAAAATGAGTGACATAATTTGACCAAACAAGGTTTACTTCTGTCATGTAATAAGCCTATAATTGAGGGAATTACTACCCTTCATTCGTCAGTGCCAAGACACCAGGTTAGGTGTCTCAGTTTTCTTCATCTTTTTCTTGTGGTCTTAACATGACAATAGCCTGTCTTTAACTTTTATTACATTTTATTTATTATTCATGTTGGAGGGTTGGATCATACATGCCATAGATAGAAGTCTGGATGTCAGTGGGCAACTTGGGGAAGTCATTTTTGCCTTGTGGGTCTTGGGGCTTGAACTGAGGTCATCAGGCTTGGAGGCAAGTGCCTGTAGGCAGTGAGCCATCTCAAAGGTTCTGTCTGTCCTTTTTAGTGTCCAGATACAGTATAGCTTTTGGAGAGAAGAGCAACAGTGTTATAGGCAAAGGGGATCGGTGCTTATTTGGCATGTTTGCTGTTTTTATTAACTTCTGAGTTGTCCTGACACTTTAACGAAGTAACTGAGCTTGATTTAATTTGGTCACTTTGCACTAATAAAAAGCAATTGCTCTGGCCAGATGTGGTGGCGTACATCTTTAATCCCCATACTCAGGAGGCAGAGGCAGGTGGATCTCTGTGAGTTCAAGGTCAGTCTGGTCTGCATAGCAAGTTCCAGGCCAACCAGGGGTATATAGTGAGACCCTGTCCTAGTTTGTTTCTCCATTGCTGTGACAAAACACTCTGACCAATACCAACTTGGGGAGGAAAGGATTTAATTCGACTTACATCTCCTGGGTCACAGTTCATCACTCAGGGAGCCTGTGACCCGAATTCTCTCTGGGTCTCCTGCATGCTCAGACAAACCATGTAATATATTTTATGTGAGTTTATTAACTTATAAAGGAATGAGTACCCAGTGCCTAGCCCCGACCCACCAAGACTCAGAGCCCACCTTATCAGACCATGCCACACCCATAAGCCCCGCTCACGCCTCCTGGGCCAGTGATCTTGCCCCAGGTCCACAGGGAGTCAGTCCATTCTGTCTTTGAGCTGCTGCGCTGGCTGCTAGTTTCCATGGTTCCTGGCTTCCATCCCAAGATGGCTCCCAGCCACACACCCCCATAGTCCACACTTTGCGGCAGGCCCCGCCCATTGGAGGAATAGCCAATCTGGAGACAGAGCCCAAGGTAGGCCCTCAGGGCAGGAACCTGTGCTGAAGCACAGGCCATGGAGGAACTCCGCTTGCTGGCTTGCTCCCCTTGCTGGTGTTCAGCTTGCTCTCTTATATAACATGGGCCCAACCAGCCCAGGGATGGCACTACCCACAGTGGGCTGGGCCCTCCCACATCGCTCAATGATTAAGAAAATTCCCCCATAGACATGGCCACAGGCCAGTCCAATGGAGGCAATTCCCCAATTGAAAAGCCATCCAGCACAGAACCCCATCAAAAAAAAAAAAGCATTTTCTCTTTTAATAATTGAGAAGTCTAAATTTATTTTGTATAGTCTTCTGAATTAAAAAGCCCTTGCTTTTTAAGACCGAAAAACCACTTTTGGTGTGGTGGTGCACACCTTTAATCCCTGCACTCAGGAGGCAGAGGCAGGCGGATCTCTGTGAGTTCAAGGCCAGCCTGGTTTATATTGTGAGTGCCAGGTCAGCTGGGGCTATAGGGAGACCCTATCTCAAAAAGACCAAAAAAAAAAAAAGAAAGAAAGGAAAAAAAAAGACTGAAATACCATTTTATTAGAACTTGAAAGACAGTAGGGCAAACAAGCTATAAATCTTGCTGACTGCTAGAAGGAGTGGGTGATGGAGAAGAGCTAGCCATGCATTTTGAGTTAAGGTCCTAGAAAGCAGAAAGGCTCAGCAGTGGAGGTTGGCAAGCAGCTGGGATGGGTGAGGTGCTGTGGGAGTGTGGAAAGAGGCTCTTGAGAGAAAGTGAGAAAGTTCAGACTGTTAGGGCAAACGTGCTTGGGACTTTGGCCAGTTTCAAAGAAGACAGAGAAAAAGAAAGGTCATTTTGAGTTAGAAGTGAAAATCTGCAAGCAACTGCTTAGTTACATCTCCTTTTAGAAAAAGATTCATGCCTTACACAGTTTGCAGCAGTCTAGTCTTTCAGTTTTCACAGTAATGAATTCCTTACTTTGCTCATATCCCCGTTTGCTCACCCCTTCTTTATGGCTGAATAAAACTCAGTTGGTATGTATACACCTTTTATTTGTTAGTCTGTTTCATATCTTGTCTAATGTAAATACTGCTACAACAAACAAGGATGTTCGAGTATGGTATACTGACATAGATTCTTTTGAGTATATACCTAGGAATGG